GGCCCTTTTATGACTCATGGACTCCAACTTCCAGAATTCCTGAGCCAGCCATGCTGAGGTGAAAGAGAGAGGTTTCCAAGCTGAGCCATGCTGGCTCAGGATTTCTGGGAGTTGAAGTCCACGAGTCATAAAGCGGCCTAGGCCTAGGCCAGGGGTAGGCAACCTTGGCTCTTTTATGACTCCTGGACGTCAACTCCCAGAATTCCTGAGCCAGTCATGCTGAGGGGAACGGGATAGGTTTCCATGCTTAGCCATGCTGGCTCAGGAATTCTGGGAGTTGAAGTCCATGAGTCATAAAAGAGCCAAGGTTGCCTACCCCTGCCCTAGATAATTTTAGACATATGGTTGTCCAGTCCTTTCTTAAAAGTCTCCAGTGTTGGAACACCTACAACCTCTGAAGGCAAGCAGATCCACTGATCAATTATTCTTACTGTCAGAAAATTTTTCCTTAGTTCTAGGTTGCTTCTCTCTTTAATTCGATTCCATCCATTGCTTCTTGTCTTGTTTTCTGGAACTCTGGAAAATATGTTGACCTCCTCATCTTTTTAGGCACCTCTCAAATATTGGAATCCTGCTATCATGTCACCCCTAGTTCTTCTTTTCACTAGACTAAACACCCAATTCCTGCAACCGTTCTTGTATGTTTTAGCCTTCAGCCCCCCAATCCTCTTTGTTGCTCTTTTCTGCACTCTTTCCAGAGTCTCAACATCTTTTTTATATTGTGGTGCCCAAAATTCGAAGCATTCCAAGTGTGGTCTTATAAAGCGGCAATATCACTTCCCGTGATCTTGATTCTGTCCATCCGTTAATGCAGTCCAGGACTGCATTGGCTTTTTTTGGCAGCTGCAGCATTTTGCTGGCCTCATATTTAAGTGATTATCCTTTAGGACTCCGAGATCCCTCTTGCAGTCCCTTCAGTTCCATAAATGAACAACGCGGAAAAACCTTGAATACATTTCTGCCCACATTCATAGCCTTCTTCTCTGTGTCCTGCTCTTTTGTTCTCAGTCCCTCTCGTGGGGAAATCAGCTTTGGGACACTCAGGAAAGGGAGAGGGGCAGTGGCAGAATTGACCCAAATAGCAAGAAGGTGTCAATGTGCTAAATGGGGCATGACCTGCTTGGGATCTGCCGATTTATGGCTCTGAAAAAAAAAAGTTCTCATTTGCCTACATGGCTTCTCCTTCTGTTGAATAACGAGTTCAGGGTGGGGGGAGATGGTTAAAGTATCAGTTGTAAATTGGTGCAAGGCACGGAAAAGGGACATTAGCCTCTAATCAGATTCCAACAGTTCATTAAACCTGCCAGTCTGAGCACCGTCCTTTGTCTGCTCAGAGGCAGGCCCTGTTTGGGCCAGATCCAGCTTCGGCTCTCGTCTTTCTTCCCTGCGAGCAGCCCCAGGCGCCTGTCACAGCTGGAGACCCTCCCAGCAGAGCAGAGCCTTCCAGGCAGACAGCGCAGCCCCCTCCCCCCAATCCATCCGGCAGTTGCTTCTCCCTCTGTGCAGAAGGGCCCCCAGGCGAGATCCCTCGCCTCAGGGAGATTTATGACCCCATTGTCCATTGCAGCCTTGCAGTAGCTGGCCTTCTTGGAGCTCGGGGATGGAAAAGGAGGCCTAAGCTATGCCAGGCAGAAAGAGGGAAGGAAGGGCTGACTGCAGAGACAGTCTGGCTGTGCTTTCTGTTCCACCCTGAGGCGGATGGCCAAACCGCCACTGCTGGTGACACCCTTGGATATGAAAGGCAGGCCTGGTCAGCCCACACCCTCCTGGAAAGCGTCTGGCCTGGCATCATTCCCCCCCCCCTTTATTGTTTTGAGCATTGCCTGGTTGCTAGAAAGTCCTCCCGTTCCTACGGCTCAGAGGGGGAAGGGGTGCGTCTTAGGCAGTGTTTCCCAAACTTGACAATTTTAAGGCATGTGGACTTCAACTCCCAGAATTCCACAGCCAGCGTTGCTGGCTGTGGAATTCTGGGAGTTGAAGTCCTCATGCCTTAAAATTGTCAAGTTTGGGAAACACTGGTCTTAGGAAGTGAAAGTGAACCATCACCTCCCTTGTGAGTCTTTCTATTAAAAGGGTTTCAGCTTCTCCCAAGAAATGGCAGCTTTTTTAAAAAAAAAAAATTATGGAATCGCATGTTATTCCCCGAGCTTGGATATGATTCCCATTTGCATTCAAACAGCCCAAATCCTACCCCAGGAAAAGTGGAGTTTTGCACCCGGGGTAATTTGTAATGTTTGCATAATCTGTGTATCACAGAGCTCAGTTTGGGAAGTTCTGCCTGGAAAATGATTTGGGGGCCTTTTCTGGCTCAGCAAGCAGAAGAGCTTATTTGGTGGTCTTATTGGGTTGAAAACACGAGGGCTAGGAGCCGAGGTGGCGCAGCAGTTAGAGTGCAGTACTGCAGGCCACTTTAGCTGACTGTATTCAGCAGGTCAGCGGTTCAAATCTCACCGGCTCAAGGTTGACTCAGCCTTCCATCCTTCCGGGGTAGGTAAAATGAGGACCCAGATTGTTGGGGGCAGTATATAAGTCTCATAAATAAATAAATAAATAAAACTTTGGTTTTTTTCCATCACATAAAACTTAAACTATAACAGAAAGCAAACCCAAATTCTGTGCCTGAAGCATTTTTCCATGATGACGCTTGCATGGATCTGAATTGTAGCTAATCCTCGACTTACAACAATTAATTTAGGGACTGTTCAAGGTTACAACAGCACTGAAAAAAGCGACTTATGATTGTTTTTCATACTTGCGGGTATTGTGGCATCCCCATGGTCACATGATCAAAATTTTGACGCTTGGCAACTGACTCATATTCATGAGTGTTGCAGTGTCCTGAGGTCATGTGTTCACCTTTTGCGACCTTTGACTAACAAAGTCAATGGGGAAGTCAGATTATGTGTTATTAACTTAACTGTGTTGTTAACTTAACAACTGCAGCAATTCAGTTAACAACTGTGGCAAGAATGGTCATGAAATGGGACAAGATTCACTTAATAACTGTCTGGTTTAGCAACACAAATTTTGGGCTCAATTGTTGTGAGTTGAGGACAACCTGTACATAATTCTAAAACAAATTACATATTTATACTTGAAGGTGCTAATGTTGGTCCTCCAGGAGGATATTCAGCTTGTCCATCTAGCAGTCCTTTATAATGCAGAGGGAAACAGCTCTGATTGTCTTGGAGAAGGTGTCATGTCTCTATTGGAGCCTGAATCTTCAGAGGAAAATGAGCTGGAACGGGACCCTATGGAGGCCAAGGGAGAGGTGTCTGTGGTTTCAGAGGAATGTGGGGAAGAGCAGGCCGAGGCAGGCCAGGGCCCTTCAGGATTGGGACAGGAGGAACAGGAAAGACAGAGTTCAGGTGATGAGCAAGGGCCTCCCCCACCTGATCCTAGAGCACGGAGAGTGGAGAGAAAGAGGGAACAATGCAGGCAGGCTCAACTACTTAGGAGGAGAGCATCCCGCCCCTCTCCACAAGGCACACCTGGAGACTGAGACTTAAGGAGATGCTGTAGGGAGAGGCATTTGTTGGGAACAAACGCTGATTCCTTGGAGTTTTGTGTGTATTGTTGCTGATCTCTTGTTCTGTGACTTCTGCTTGGAAACCCGGAAACTCTGACCATTGGACTGGCTGACAACATTGCTTGGATGTTTAAAGAACTCAGACTGTATTTTGGCTTCCCTTCTGAGACTGCTCAGGCAAGCGTGTATTCACACAGACTCCTTAGGTTTATGATGTATGTGTCATTCCTTGTTATCTCCATGGCCTTGAATAAATTCCTCTCCTAATCAGACTGTATGTGAAACAACTTGCAGTCAGAGGTGGCTGAAGGTGTGTATGTCTTCCTTTGTTTGGAGGCTTACCAGAAATGTGGGAGCATTTGGGGAAAATTTGGAGCAATTAAAGGGTGGTTTGAATTGCCAGCTGACTGCATTGCCTCTGTGCTCTGCCCTGGGTCATCACAGAAGGCTTGGGGAAGACTACAAACCATGCAGACTTCTACTGACCAAGGGAAGAGTCCAGAGCCAATCAGGGCTGGTCTCTGAAGTATCACCATTAGACTGCATGGCTTGTAGTCTTCCCCAAGCCTTCTCCATTGCTGCAGATCCCATTTTTCAATATGTATGGTATTTGTGGAAGAATGTAGACTAAGACAAAGCTCAAATCTGATCCCTGAAAGAGCCAGGTGACATTAAAGGAAGTTTTGCATGGGAGGACCATTGTGAAGAAGATCTAAAAAAAGATTCTCCAAGGCTTAACCTCCTATCAGGAGTTATGAAGGGAAAGCCACGGTCTGCCAGCAGTCCATCCCAGGACACTTTCCCCTGTCCTTGACCATGTCTGCCAAGAGCTGTGGCCCTGGGATTTGGAGAGGGGAAGCAGAAGCAAAAAGACTTTGGGAAAAGGACTCTGAACCTCTTGTCAGCGAATGGAGTTGGCATTGAAGCAAGAAGTCCTGCCAGAGGGAAAACGAACCAACCATAAGGCTGGGGAGGGCTAGTTTGTTGTTGTTGTTGTTGTTGTTGTTGTTGTTAAATGACCAGACTAACTGGAAGACTGTGAGTTTTAATTGCACCTTAGGGTTGAAGCCAGCTGGGTGATCTTGGGCCAGTCCCTTTCCCTCAGCCCTAGGAAGGAGACAATGGCAAACCAATTCTGAAAAACCTTGCCAAGAAAACTATAGGGACTGGCCCAGGTGATCACAGGAGTCAAAAAACTGTCTTAGACACATCAAAAAGAGAGAGAGAAATGCCACATAGCTACTGCCACGTTTACAGCGATTACAAACTCCTGCTTTTTTGTAAGTTCAAGGGCAATGTTGTCTTTGTTCCTGTTTCCAATAAAGGAGAGAGTCGGGAATAGACTGAACCCCATTCATTGAAACAGGAAAGGTTTGAGATCAGTTGGGTCCAGAACTGATGTCAAAGTGTTGGAAAATACTTGCCTGGAAGTTCTTGGAGATAGACCTGATCAACAGACAAATCCTTGCACTTTTTCTTTACAAACCAGAATGTTCCATTGCTTTCTTTCTCCTGGGCTCATCTTTACTTTTCTTCTTCTTCTTCTCCTCTTCAAGGCTATTAACACATTGAAGAACAGAATGTTAATGCTTGATGGGATGCCTGCAGTCAGAGTCAAAACGGAGCTGCTGGAATCAGAACAAGGGGTGAGTGTCAGTCTTCCGTTCTTCTCCATCCCGCTCAGATATTCCTGCTTGTTTAATCCCTGGGGAAGTACCCCTAGGCTTCCCTTTCCAGTAGGGTGGATGATTTTGGCACAAATGGGTGCAATTCTCCATCCAGTTTCTTCTCACCTTCAGTGTCACCTGGTAGAGTGAATGTACTCTTGACTCTTGCTCTGAAATTGTCATCTACAAGCTTGTGGGAAACAGTGAAGGGAGTCCAGGAAACTGTTTTGAGAGAAGGAACAAGGCATAGCCATACTTTCAAGTAGAGATGCAGCCACTCGAGCAGTTTCTTAGTATTTGTTGGTGAAGAAAGTGGGGAGAATCATTTTGTTTTCTTCAACCATTAGAATAATCCTAGTAGTACATGTTTCCTTGCAACCATGGAAGTAAAGCTACCTAGTTGGTAAACAAAAATTCAGAGGAAGAAGCATTCTTTGAGTGATGTTGGAACTAGTAGAACCTTTCCTGAAGCTGTAACCTTGCCTGGAGAGATTATGAAGGTGAAATACGAGCAGAGTCAACCCTGCAGTGGTGGTGTAAGAGATCTTGTGTCCAGAAAGAGAATCCAGATTTCCTGATCCCTACTTTGCGCTGAACATCTTCCTTCCCCTGTCCTGACCACTCTCTACAGGGGGACGATCGAGAGTATCCTGTCATACGGCATCACAGTCTGGTTTGGAAGCATCCCTGCTTCAGACAGGAAGGCAGTGCAGAGAGTGGTGAGAACAGCCGAAAAGATCATTGGTAGCTCCCTCCCTCCCATCAAGGACATAGCACAGAAGCGTTGCTTGAGCAGGGTCCATAAGATTATCTGGGACACTACACATCCTCTTCATGACCTGTTTTCCTTGTTACCTTCTGGGAGGAGGCTTCATGGTATCCACAGCAGAACATCCAGATTCAGCCATAGTTTCATTCCATACAGCATTAACCTTGTAAACTCTCAAGCTTCCTCCTTCCGTTACATATTCAAGATGGACAATATTTGATATTTATCTGCTATGTATATGTAGGGGTGTGGGCCTATACATATGTTGTACATAGTATGTTTTAGGTGTGTGTCATGTATGTGTTTCACTTTGAGAGCGGGCAACTAAATTTCATTTTTGATGTGTGCCGTTGTGCCCACAGTAAAAAAAAAAATGACAATAAAGGTTATCTTATCTTAGCTAACAGGTTAACCCTTCAAAATGTTTTCTTCACTATGGAGATTCTCAAACATGGCTGTCCCAAAGGTGCTTTTCAAAAGGCAACTAGACCTTCAAAAGGCAACTGGACTTTCTGAACTGAAGAAGCTTCTTGGATGAGAACTGAAACATCTACAACAGTGGTTCTCAACCTGTGGGTCGGGACCCCATTTGGGGTCAAACGACCATTTCACGGGGGTTGCCAAACAACACAGTCCGCCATTTTTCCCCCCTTTTCCTTAGCTTTGCTACTCCCTTTTATTCTATTGGCTTTTGAAAGTCAATAGAATAGACTCTCTTCAATAAAGTCTAATTCTATTGGCTTTCAAAAGCCAATAGGAATTCTCCAGGCTGTCTCTGCCCTGCTGAGCCCGCCAAAAGTCCCATTCTGCAAACAGTGCTGTACCAATTGAGTAGTCCTCAACTTACGACCGGTTGAGTAGTCCTCGACTTACGACCGGTTGGGGGGGGTCGCAGCATTAAAAAAGTTGAGAACCACTGATCTACAAGGAAGAAAGCCAAGAAGGTCCAGTTGTCTTTTGAAAAGCACCTTTGGAACATTTTCCTCACAAATGACTTTGTGCCGTTTTCTCCTTATCGTCGCTCCTCATGGTGATTTCTAAAGCCAACGCCTTGTCCACTAGCTTATTCTACCTCCTTTATCTGCCATTAGTGCTCCGTTATATCAAAGGAGAGTTACCCAAAGTGAATGCAAAATTGAAGGAGGGAATTGGTTTTCCTGGCAAGGCTTTTCTGGAGCAGAAGGCCAAGCAGTGAGAAGTCCCCAAAGTGCTTTCTTTCCAAAAGGCAACTGGAGTTTCTTGTTTTTCTTGAAGACGTTTTGCTTCTCATCCAAGAAGCCTCTTTAGTTCTGACAGGATGGTGGAGAATGTAAGGATTTATATCCCTCGCTGTCATGAGGTCATTAGCACTATAAATGTATAAAGAATATAACTCCTTCCATTCTCCACCATTCAGTCAGAACTGAAGAAGCTTCCTAGGTGAGAAGCGAAACATCTTCAAGCAAAACTAGAAAGTCCAGTTGCCTTTTGAAAGAAAGCGCCTTTGAGGCAACCATGACCTGGATGACGGAGAATCTTCATAGGCAAGCAGTGAGAAGCTTAACGAAGAACAGACTATGAATTGGTTTATGAATGTGCTGAAAGCAACAATAGTCTGCAAGGACAGAAAGTACGGAGAGAGAGAGAGAGAGTGGAGGATCTTGATGTAAACTAGATTAAGCTATCTCTTTTTCTTTCCTCCTGTATGTTCTTTGGGTCTTCATTTTTGGGCCATTTCTTTCACTCGCTTTCCACAATTTGTCTAATGTTTCTGGTCCCCAAAGGGAATAAGATACTGTTTTGCGTATAAATGTGGAGTATTCCTTCATGCTTCCTCTCCTCTGTGCTCCATGAAAGAGAGCTTCAGAGATCATCAAGCCTGCACATTCCCTGACCAGTCTTTTTAGCTAGAGGCTGGGATCCTTATCCCATCATTGCTGTCTTGGAGTCTGAAGTCCAGCTCCTTCAAGGCTACTTGGCTGGCTGTAAGAAAAGAAAGCAAGAATCAGAATTTCTGGTGACATTAAAAAAACAAACAAACTTGGCATGCTTCTTATTAAAAACATGCCTTGCCTGCCATGCGTGCCTTTCCATCATTGTGGAATTATCTAAAAGTCACCATGTGATCCTACTTTTGTAAGAAAGAGCAACAAATGCTAATGTTGCAGTCTTTTGGCAACTTCCCATTCCCCCTTCCCCCCCCCCCCAAAAAAAGTCAGAAGAGCTGGATTTTCTGTCCAGAAGCTCCTGGAATGAAGTAACGCAACACAGCCATGAAATACTTTCATTCACCATTAATAACTCCTGATCTTCTTCTCCTGGGCGTCTTATATAGCTTTTCACAGTTCTGCAGCAATGGTCCTGGAGAGGTATGGGGTGGACAGGGTTCTTTTGCGCTCTACAGAAAGCTGGTCGAGTGTAGATAATAAATTACCTCCTGCGGCCAATAAAAGTGCTAAACTGTTTATTTTTATTTTGGGTTCTTTTTCTTAGGTTTTTAAGTGCTGCAGTTTCACTTTACTGTTCTTTTGAGGTCCATATATAAACTTCAATTTTTTCTAGGAGAAAGGGAAGATGCATCTCCCTTTTATAACCTTACTGAGGTTTCTTGTTATGTAGCTCACATAAATTATCTTCCTTGACTTTGTCTTTAGTTTCATACTGGGAGGGGGAAGTAAGGAGATTATTTTGGGTGGGGATGGGGGTGGGGGGAGTTCCCTTGGTGCCTCATTATAGCCATGGAAGGCTGTTTACTCCAAACCTCGGAGCAAAAGAAGGATAAGATCTGTGCGGATCAATGGACAATTTGGGTTGTTATATCACAGAGCAGCCTTGAGTCTGAATTTTTCTCTCAGGCATAGGTGAGGTCATGGGGCACCAAAAACATCTCTGAATGTTAGAAAGGCATCCCATTTGTGTCATGGTGGAAATCTCAAGGCTTCTGAGAACAACCTGTTAAGAGAGGCTAGGCAGGGACTTCCGGTTCCGGATCGCGGCGCTTGCAGCTGTGTGAGGAGACTGCTCTCCTCACCAGCTGATTCTCCGCTGCCGGTAGACCCTTAATCGAGTTGAAAAGCCGCCTTGGAGGGGCGGCTACCAGGGAGGAGGTCCTCGTCGTCCTTGGGAGAGCAGCAGCTTCTTCCAAGGACCGAGATTGCTCCTTTGGGCCAACGGTGGAAAGAGCGGCCAGTAAAATGGTCGCTCACCTAGCCACTGAAACCAGAAGTCAGAAGAACATCTAAGCACAGGAACCACCGTGGCTGAGCCGGGTGAGACTTTTTTCTCTTCCTCTCTTGGTTCTCCTTTTTTTTGTGTGTGTGTGCCTGTAAAAAGCACTTTTGAAATCATTTCCCTGCTCTGAGAAGGCGGCGTTGGTGAGTGTGGGAAAAAGAAGCTTATGGATTTAATTAATTTAAAGTGACTTTTTTTCTCTCTATTTTTACTTTATTTTTTATTCACTTTGGGGTCCTGGAAAATCTTTTTAATATTGAATATTATTTACTATTGGACTTTGTCTACATCTGAAGAACTCTATTTTTTTCTACGTTTTCTGATCTTGTTAATGATATTTCTGGTGTCTGGGAGGAGATTTTATATTCTACTGAGGACACTTTGTGGATAAAGTTAAAGTTGCACTATTTCTTTTTCTGTTGGTGAGATTGGCTTTGACCTTCAGACTACTATAAAAAGGAAAAGACAAAGAAATTCAACAGCTGTATTTGTGGGGGTGGATACTGATTAAATGTTCTTTGAATGCAGCCTCTACTAAAGATACAGATTGTTTCTAACTTTCCTTGAAATGGAGAAATCTAATGTTCAACTTGACTATAAACTTATACTGGAAAAATTTTATGAAGCTACTGACCAAATACGTTTCCAAATAAAAGAGTGTACTGTGGCAATAAAAAACAGACATTTTGCTTTGAACTTACAAACTGACCCCCAGACTACATCTGAGTATTTTATAGATCAAAAAACAACATAAGCGGAAGCAACTAAGATTAAAGAAGATTCTACCTTATTTTATACGCATGCTGATGAGATCTCCAAGGAACCAAAAAGAACTGTAACTGAACCACTTACAATTTTAAAATTAACAGAAATGAACAGACAAGCTCAACTAACTGAAAACTATGGTAGCTTGAATAAGCATCTATTAACTACAAAATTGGACATAATTGAGCCTGTTATTCAACAGTTTCAAATGTGGAGACTTGACTCTTTAAAAAAA